TCAAAATTACTGATTTTTAATAGAGGACACAAAGATAGGTTTAGCTTTTCTCCAGGTTTGATGTTCCAACAGCTATGATTTGTTGTATCCTATCTTTATTTATTTTCTGTCTTGTAGTCTTCCTTCCTTCCTTCCCTCCCCCCCTGCCCCACAAACTCTCTCTACGGAAAACAGTGTGGAAATCCCATGGGCATTTAATTCTCTCCATCGGTGAGATCAGCAGACACTCCAGTTTACTTAGATGCATTTGACAGGTCAAGCTACCCTCCACCATCACGTTTCCATTCACCGAGTAAAGGAATATTAGAGGTTATATGGTGTAGCTTGGTGTTATGATTAGTTATCTAATCACTCCAGTTTACTTAGATGCATTTGACAGGTCAAGCTACCCTCCACCATCATGTTTCCATTCACTGAGTAAAGGAATATTAGAGGTTATATGGTGTAGCTGGGTGTTATGATTAGTTATCTAACGGAGAATGTCCGTGTGGATGAACAAGTTGATTGCTAACAGAGAAAAATCACTCAGAGAATGGAAAGCAAGGGAGGAGTGGCATCTCACTCACCAGGTAACGTGGTTCTAATACACTTGACTTTCTTATCTACTCTGGAGTTACAGGAACAGGAGAAGAAAACTGGTAGAGGCCTCAGGGAGGAGTCGGCGGTCGTCCGATGTTGTCGTGGGGTGGGCTTGATGCCAAGAGTCCTCTGCGTCAGTTAGTAGAATAATTATTCTCAGCTGCATTTGTTTAATAGTGATGTAACTAGAAGCAGAGACTATGAAGGGGCTGCAGGTGGCAGAGCTGAGGAGTGGATAGGGGATTACCACGGAAGTGCTCCAGATAAGACGCTTAAGGTGTTACCATTGGGGCGTGTCTTAGGGACTCATTACATGCTCCATGAGAACATACTTGTCACTTACAGGGAGTTCAGGTTGGGAGCTTGTGAGACAGATCAGAAGACTGTGGCCTCAGAGTTTCCCATTTCTTCTAATCATCTAAGTCTGATGGTGTCACAGCAGTTGGAACCCAGAGCAGGAAGAGGAAGAAACACCAGGAGCTCATGATCTCTGCCTTCCCTGTCATTTGACGTGGACCATCAGAAGGGCAAAGTAGTGAGTAACATAAATGTGAGATGAAGTTGAGGCTGGAAGAGAACGTTTCTAAGATGATGTTGAGGAGATGAGAATTCAGAGGAACCTGGTGGAAGAGACCCCTTAGAGCTCCCTGGAGCTGTTTATTGTTTGTGCCTTAACACGTTCCTTCAGTGACAAATTCATGAAACGTAAAGATAATGTAGTGCGTAGCATTTATATTTTTGGTCATCAGTCTGTAAAAATTGGCTCATAGTGAGTTGCTGGCTTTCAAAAAGTATGTCCATTTCTGTCTTATTGGTCAAATCATAACCTAGTGATAGGAAGGTCTTAATACTTTTGCTATTACTTTTATTAAATGAACAAAAGAAACTGATACGTTCACTTTTAAGACACTGGCATTTTTAAATCATCAGTTTTGATGGGAAGAAGAGTCCTATCACACTTAAGCACCTATTGAAAAGTTATAAAATTACAAGAAGCTTTGAAAAGATGAATCTCTATGGATGTTCTCAGAGGCAGAAGGGGTGGATGGACACCTAGCATGTGCTAGAGACCATGTGACATCTCAGGACATTAATATAATCAGAAACTTTTGTTGCATCGCTGTGCAAGCAGACGAATAGGCTATGAAAGGCAAAGGGGAGAGAGCTTTCATTGGCCATCTTTAAGTGTGGCAGTTCTGACCAGGTGGGGTCCTCCTCATTTTCCTTGAGTCCATATATATTTTTTTATGTAAGCAGACCAAGGTACCCTTAATCTGTTAGATATCTAAAATCTAGATACAAAACTCATGCCTGTGATTTCTGTTATGCAATTTATCCCAGATGAAGTATGTCTTCACAGGAGTAGACAGAAGTTGTTGCTACTTGACTATAAAAAGTTGACCAAAATAACGAAGGAGGTAGTATCAGTTCTCAGGAGATTGTCCACGTTCTATGTCACCTCTGATGTGCCATTTGTATATTCTTGATTATGCCTTCCTTTCCTAGCTTTCAACTAATTCCTTACAACGTACGGACATAAAGTCATAGGACTGATAATGACTGGACTTGGTGGATTAAGATGCAGACAGTCCAGAGATAAGTGTGACTAAGGTCTGCTGAAATCTCAGGACGCTTTCACTCCGCTCAGGAAAGGAACTGGCCAAATGATTGTGAGGGACAGAGATTCCTGTGTTGTCAGGTGCTGAATGAAACATCTCCAAGAAAGTTGGAGTTGGACCAAACCCCTTACTCCCAAGACTGTCTACCAGAGTGCGTGCCTCAGTTTCAGTGGGGCAAACACAGAGTTAGTTCAAAGTTCATTTATCACAGAGAAGTCACAAGTTTCATCCGAAAGAAAAGTAAGGAAGTGTAAGTGTAAGGAGACTGCTTACCTGGCTTAGTACAGTCCTAACTACCTTCAGGTATCTTCTGAGTTTTGAGATCTTTCCATCAACCACTCTGAATTTTGACATGATACCATGATGGGTTGTTTCCAGATCATGAAATCTGAGCACTACTTGTGACAGATGGTTGTTCCAGGCACTCAACATACTCATGGTAGCCTTCAGAAGGAAGTCAGGCTAGGCAACAAAAATTGCACATCACAGTAAAACAAGTGTAAAACTGAAGGTTTGGTTACATATGATAACTAGTGCAGTCTGTCTTGTGTTGCTGCTGTTTTTAAGGATCAATTACAACAATTAAAAATATTTTATTTTTCATTATTTTAATTTTATGCGTATGAGTGTATTGCCTGCACGTATGCAAGCTCAACCATGTTGTATAATGGCTGGGGAGGTTAGAAGAGGGTATCAAATCACCTGGAACTGGACTTACATACCATTGTCAGCTGCCATGTGGGTGCTGGGAACTGAACCTGGGCTCTCTGCAAGAGCATCCAGTGCTCTTAATCACCAAGCCATCTCTCCAGCCCCTAAGTGCTATGTTTTTTATACACTGCTTTGTGACATGTCTACTGTGGAGTAGCTCTCATCCGATATTTTCTATTTTTTCCCTTCATGTTGTGTCTTACAATTACTGATGTGTGTGGTAGACGTACAGAAAGCTGGTTCCACACAGAAAACCATTAAGAACAGATGTAGATGTATGATGATATTTAATTTAAAAGTGTTAAGACTGGTTTGGGGAGGGATTATAGTAATTAAGAAACACTGGGCGTGGTGGTGCACACCTTTAATCCCAGCACTCAGGAGGCAGAGTCAGGAGGATCTCTGAGTTCAAGGCCAGCCTGGTCTACATAGTGAGTTCCAGGACAGCTGGGGCTACAGGGAGACCCCGTCTCAAAAAGACCAAACCAAAAAAAAAAAAAAAAAAAAAAAGAAAAGAAAAAAGAAATATGGTTAGCATTGTTGCCCTGGTCATCAGAAGCCATATGTGTGCCCTGTGAAATAGGAATTGTGTGTTACAAGACCTGCGGGTATAGATTCAGGAGGAGGCTATGACAGGAAGGAGAAAGTAGGCAAAGAAGCAGACACACAGCCAGGAGAATCCAGGCGGAGAAGAGTTGATGGTCAATGATGTAAAATGCCTTCGAATGAAGAGCTGAAGGAATATGTGAAAAGTTGCAACCTGCATGTCTTACCCTTGCATGTGTTTATAACCATGCAAATTCAGATCAATTCAGTTTCCTGTAGACTAGTAGATTCAGTCCTAAGTGTAAGGCAGTGCTGAAAATAGGAAAAATTTCATGAGCAATCAGATCTGCTGCAGTGAGTTTGCACTCCATTTAGTCTAATTTGTCAGGTATGCAATATGGTTTTCCTTGGGCTGCTCACCCTTTCTGCGTTTTCCTGCAGATGTGATTGCTGTATCTGACAGAGTTGGCAATGATCCACAGCGTGCCGCGGTCAGCACCCCGCTCACCCTTTCTGCGTTTTCCTGCAGATGTGATTGCTGTATCTGACAGAGTGGCAATGATCCACAGCGTGCTGCGGTCAGCACCCTGCTTCAGTGGTTCGGTGCAATACTTACTTGGGTCCTTTCAGGGTACCGTTTTTTGTTTGGAAGATGGAGGGAATAGGTATGGCAGGTCATGGAGGCCTTGTTCCGGAACTTCTGGCCTTCATCGTACTCTTTATCCTAAACGATGAAGACATAGTTAGTGGGAGTTTGAGAACTGAGTGGATGAATCCATGAGCACTGCGTTAATGTTCGGTCCGTGTGTGCTGAAGAAGAGTTCATCATAAAGGGATGCTTTGTCTTTCTTCTGGTAGAGCCATGATCTCAGTTCTTCATCTAAGTTTTGGCTTCCCAATCCCTTCTCTTCACAACTATCCTATTTTCCCACTTTTCCCAAAAGTTACTATTTTTAAAGGCAGGCATAAAAACTGCAAAGTATAAGATATTGACTTAAAGATTGCCTTTCCCTAGAATTAGAACCCAATGCCACAGTGCATATGTATTTATGTTTGTTAATTCCCTGATTCTTATTGCAACAAACTGATATTCTGCCTTTAACTAAACAATATAAAATTTGATATTTTTCTATTACCATTAAAATATACCTTGAACTTATCAAAATCATTAAATATTGAGAATCCAGTTGTGTTGGTTAAATAGAACCAAACCAAAATACTTCAGGAAATTTACATATTGAAAAATTTAAAATGTAAAATATTATGCTTTCCTGTTTACATATTAAGAAGATTTAATTATTTACATATCATATGTTCTTATATATTATTTAACATAACTATTACCTAAATCCAACAATCAGAAAAATGTGAGATTTAATGAATTCCTTGGGATCTTAAGAAAATGAAAGATTGCCAGTTAAGAATGGAAAATGAGTGAAAGTCAGTGATCAAAGGGGAAAATTTGAAAAAGTTTATTATACACATGGAGTCCTTGTGTTCACACTCTGATGTAATGAAGCCCTCATCTACCATGGCATCCTGGACTGACTTAGAGCAGAGAACATCTAACCTTCAAAGGACCTTCATCAGGCAGAGAGGGCCTGTGTACAGTTCTAACCCAACTCCCCTTTCGTAGCGATGAAGCGTGATCCTGCATCTTTAAACAGTGGCCAGGGCTTGGGGCTTCCAAAAACCTGTCATTTCTGTTTTTGCCATTGTTAGTAGTTTTGCTTTTCCTCCTGACACTGTTTCAGTCACTTTAATTCTTTCCAGTTCAGGGGATTTTCTGCACTGAGGGTCTTCTGTTGAATACCTACAGAGTGAAGGCCACCAATGGAGCCTGGCCTTCTGTGCCCAGGAACTGGAAGGCAGAGATTCTTCAGCCACAGTCTTGAGGGATTTATGTCAAGAGTGGAGTTTTAAAAAACATTTAATGAAGTGTATTAGAGAAAAAAACTGTAAATCGGTGTGTTTTCTGACAAATTCAGTGATTTCACGGAGCTGTCTCGGTCTTCTTTCACCCCTTTCCTGTGTCTGTGAAGGTGGATTGCTCAGCTCGGTTCATGATGCTTTCTCAAGCTGTAGTGAAGCCCAGTCAGTCACATGATGGCCCTTTTCAGGAAGAAGCCAGAGGAAAGTGAGGTACTTACAAATTCATTTAACATTTCTGAAGAGAGGCTATTGATGTCCTCAGATAGGGTGTCTGTCAAGTTAAAAATGTACCCAAGGATCTTCTCACAGCTTCCATCTGTGAAATTGCGCTTAGGCTCAGAGGCCACATCCTTCCACAGGAGCAGATTTGACAGCAACAACAGCAGAAGTGTCCCTGCTACAAGGAAAGAAATCACAGAGCTAGTGTATTCACGCCTGGTCCCAAGACTCACCCTGTGAAGGGAGCCTCACCTAGCCCCAGTGCCCGCTGTTGCTGGGGAGTGAGAACAAACACCCTCTGTTATGACAATGTAGTCCACACTGTGTCCTTGATGTCATAAGCAAGGTCCAAGGCCCTCTGCTCTGATGGCGCCCATCTTTCAAACTTGTGACAGTGATCTGAGCTGTATCCACCATCAATTTGCTTTTGACAGACGCAGAACTCTAACACTTAATAAATTGTTATTTCAAGGGGAAAGAAACACCAGGCATGCATCTCTGAGAAAGGTCTTTTAATTTTAGTGATCCTAGTCCAAAGAGTTTCCTGTACCAAAATGTGAGTCTGGGTGGGGATGTCTCGGTAGTTAAAGTGCTTGCCAAGAAAATGTGAAGATTGAAGTTTGGATTCCCAGATTCTGAACAAATCCCTGATGACATGACGTTCCATTCTGCCTGTGATTCCAGTATCTAACGGTGGAGACAGCATTACCAGAGCAAGCTGGTCAACGTGACTTGTCATATTGGTAAGTTTTGGGTTGCACTGAGAGACCCTGCCTCAATCAATAAAGTGACAGAAGTATAGAATGTCTTCCAACATCAAAACCTGGGGCCTCCCATGGCAAACACATGTATATGCACACATAACACATACACATGAAAATGAGGATTTTAATATAGTACAAGTCCTAGGAACTATGTTTCACAGACCCTTTCACAAATGCAATCTGAAATATCCAAAAATAAACAAGTAAATTGTTATAGAGTTATGTGTGGGAAATACTTAAACTCAAGTAATCAAAATAATTAAATATATCACAAAACTTGTGTAGCATACAAGGTAACTAAACAATATATTAAATTTAAAATGAAAATACTATTTCTGGACATCTTAATTTGTCAAATAACATGATACTTCTATGAATTTATTTTAGACTTCATAAAACATCACACACACACACACACACAAATACACATAGTCCAGCTTCTTGGTGCAGAGAGAGTCACAGTCTAAATAGGTAAATAGGCCACTTTTTTTTTTTACATTTCATAAAATAAGTTTGATGATTGTTAGTAATTCCTTTTTCTTGAACATATTATCATGATTTTAAAGGGAAATATCATCAACCTGCTTTAATTTTTGCAAAGTCATTTTCCTTCAACCAAATTCTCAAAATTAGTATAAGACACATCTACTAGTATTGTCTAAATTAGGCTGAGAATTGAAAGTTTCATGAACGTTTTCAAATCAGATAATTCATAGCAGTAATGTAAGAACCCAGTAATATCCTGGGTAAGGTCCTGTTTTATTCAGGGATTGTGACAAATTGAAGCCATGGACCTCCATTGTCTCGTTCCAGTCACAGATCTCAATTTCAACAGCACTGACTTTTGATGTGATGCTGTACCATTCCATGTTTTGGGGCTGCCCTGTGCAGAGTAGACTATGTGGACATCCACACATTAGATGCCAGTAATACTCTCACCTCTTTCTCCTTTCAAGTGAGAAAACAGCCTCTACACACTGATGTGTCTCTGGAATGGGGAAGGATAACCTGTCTGAGAATCGCTGATCTAAGAGTCTACTGTGTCCTTGTGCAGTTGTATTGATAGCAAGGATTAGAAAGTTCTTCTAAGCACTACATAAAACCAAAGAAAGTATTCTCCCTAAGTACAGTTTGATGTAAATTTATAAATCCATTGGTCTTAGAGGAGCATAAATGAATGATCACTTACAAGAACATGGTCCAGTCAAAGACAGCTGCATAGCTGCTAAGTTCCACTGCATTACAGTACCAGTGAAGGAACGCTGCTAGAGTCCTGCCTTCTGTTAGTTTTTCACCATCTATACAGTCCAACAGACCACTGCCGAGGCGATGCAGAGCTGGAGGCCAGGAGGAAAGAATTGAAATCTCAGGTGACAGTCTTACGACTTTGAAGTCTTAGGGACTCTTACCAGCCTTATTATCATTATCACAGCTGTTGTTGGATCTATACTCTTTTCCTTTCTTTACATTGAATAGGCTTCTGTTTTGCCAAAGGTCAACAGGTGTCCTCTACTTCCTGACGGCTGATGTTATATCAACTCGCAGGAATGTACTTCTTTCCTAATATTTCACCCCTTTCTCTAGGCTCTTCCATTTGTCTGTCAACTCTTCTGCAAAGTTCTCTGAATCCTGGAGTGTTTAACTCTTTTGTGACCACGAGGCCTTCATTCCACAGCAACAATCACTTATTTTCAGCAGTTTAGTGCCTATGAGTCTGTGCCAGTAACCACCAACCACTGTGAAGTTTGCCTTTGCCACCTGCTCTGATAATAGCCACCTTCTACGGGTGCAGCACACATTTTGAGAAGACAGATGGGAACATCAAATCTATTTATCAAAGCAAAATGAAAAGCCTTGCTTCTGGAGTGAGGACCTCCCCAGCCACAGTTATTTGGCCTAGATTTGAATATAAAACGTGAATTCCCCCTGTGGAGCAAGGTTTAAAACCTACCACGAGGTAGTTGGTTTCACCTATATATGTTATGCCACAATTGGAATGGTGGTTACACTTTGCTTAGTTTGACAATTGTGTTAATATGCAGCTGAGCGGGTCATTTCTTGACACGTAATGCCAGTATCCAGAATAATGCATTTCTGTACTACCACAGCAGCCACATTGGAAGTGTATGGCTTAGGCCCAGCCTTGTTTCTCTATATTCTGAAACGAGAGCATATCATATCTTCATCAATAGACCCTTAACAGTTGTTTTTGGCACAGAACCAACAGTGCACGCATTCTATGCAGGGTTTTGGGGCCTCCCTGCTCAAAAGCTGTTAAGACACTAAGCACCTTATGTTGTGGCCTTTTCACATCTTTACATACTTATTATACTATCTACGTTCAAATTCTTAACTATTAGAGTTACTGTTCTAGAAGTTTATCCAAAGATCTGTAAGACATGAGATGTTAGCTTTGTATAATTCCAGCTTTTGCAGAAGGTGGATGCAAATTCTGAAGACTCAATGTCACCTTCTCCAGGAACGTGAAGCTCTTCTCATAATTCATCATCTGAACAGATCATAAAATTATTACCATGGACTATTAAATATGAAATAATCACATTGCTTTTTACAATCATTTGGCCCCCAAAGGCAATGTTGGGTTCAACAAGGTGGATGTGAGGTACTGTACTGGTCAGCTCTTGATAACATACTCTTATTCTCCACAGTCCTGGGCCTTCACAGGAGGACGTGTGTCACTGGGGGTGGGCTTTTAGCTACCATGGCCTTGCTACAATTTCAGTTGTTCTCTCTGTTAGCATTTGCAGTGAAAATTTGACCAGTCAGGTTCCTGCCCTGACTGCTAGCTCCCATGGACACTCATCCCACTGAAACTTCAAGCCAAAATAAACTCTTTCTTCCATAAATTGCTTTGGGTCATGGTGTTTTAGCACAACAGCAAAAAGTAGCTAACACAAGCACTAAGGAGAGATCTTTCATGTAGCACAGGCTTTTGGGCTCTGTCATAGTTCTCATACAGGATGTTACATGGAATTTTCACACTTTCTATAGCACATGTATCATTAGCAACTTAAGTTTCCATCCAGGGTTTGCATTTCAGTCTTGTAATAGGCCGCAGGACACTGTGGACTCTGTGGAGTGCATATGTACTTGGTCCAGTCATGTGTTTTAGCCAGCCAAGACCAAGGTTTTCCTTCCTTCCTCATGGAAATACTGATTTTGTAAGGCATTCCTGAAAACAATGTCCAATCTACTCTCCTGCCTCAGGGATTGTTACTTCAGAGATCAAATTATCAGTGAGACTGTTATTATAGATGCACACTGCTATACCAAATGACACATAAAACACCAATTTAGAGGAATCTATTAGATGATAAAAGACTAGACAGGATGAATTCTATGTAGGGGTCAGCAAGTCAATGTGGATGTAATAGTTCCCATCTTTGCAAAAATTGTGATAAAACATCCTCAAAAAAATCTATCTGAATTTCATGGAAGTAGGCAAATTTCCTAGGCACACAAGAACCCTAGTTCTCTGAATGTTTATTCACAGCACAACACATTGTTACCTCAGCTGCTATAGTAACTAAGGGAGACAGGATGAGTCCGTGGGGTTGCAATGTCACAAACGTAGAGATAAAGATTAACCCAGAATCCAAAGCATAAAAGTTCACACAGAGTCACAATTGCAGTTGTAGAAACTTTGCTGGGCCTGAGTGGTTATTACTAATATGTCAGTTGAGTTTATAAAGTGCTAAAGAAATCAAGATGGGATTATAAAAACAAGTCACTCAAGGAGAATGTAGCAAGTGAGAGATTCTAGGAAAGGGCATGTAAGGCAGCAGATGCAGTGCTTATCAGCTCAGAGAGACAGGAAAGTGTGAGCACAGTTCACTGAGGAGAGGGAAGAAAAGACGGTGTGTGACACTGCACCTGATGCTGTGATGGAAGGACGTCTCCTTGGGTGGGAATCACCCCTGCCTGGTCCCTACCAGGATGACCAGTGCTGTCTACATGAGGAGGACGTTCGGGATGACCGGAGATGTGATGTTGAATTATAGATGTTTAACATCATCCTGATTCAAAGACTGTTTCTACCTCAGTGAATGCTGGAGTCCAAGTGAACCATAATTTACATCGATTTCAAACTGAGCTGGAGAGGTGGACAGCTACGGGTACACAGGGGTACGGCAATGAAGGCAAATGAGGTTAGCGATCATGGGAGTGGGCAGTCATCCCAGAGGCAGAGATTATGGAGTGTCACTGTGTGCAATGAAGAAGCTCTGTTGAGGGTGAATGTGCTTCTGGGACACATGATGTATTCCAGAGTTGGCGGGTTTTGCCTGAGCATGTCAAATGTAAGTTGAATTTGGCAGAAATGATATCCTATATAGAGAACACGGTTCATGCAGTCAGGCGTCTGTCATTAGGCAGGTATGACCAATAGATCATGAGTCTGGAGCCCTCCAGTCACACAGAGCCAGATGAAGTGATAAAGTGTAGAGGATGGGAATGGGCCCTGTTGCCTTTGAATCCTGGGCAGGCCAAGCAATGCAGGGTGCCTGCATCTTTCCAGCTCCTTGGCATGACAGTACCGAGGACGAGAAAGTCAAATGGTCGTTTATTGTCAAGAGCTAAATATTTAGTGACTCACACCCAACATGTTGAACACAACATTGCTCCTTGGAGGAAAGAACTGAGAACAAACAATGGCTCTTTTAATACTTTAACAGTACTAGTTAATTTTTGATAAAGATCCCTTGGATGCTGAATTCCAATATGAATTTCCCTTGCTTGGAGCAGTCAGCAGTGAGCCTTCAGAGATCACAACACTACCTTTGTGAAAGTTGACACCTTGTACTGCTAATATCTCATGTCTTATAGTTTTGGAAAATGAACTAAAAGAACAGTAAATGTAGCAGTGAAGGATTTTAAAATAGGTATTATACATGGTGTGCAAATATGCACAAGGTTGCTGACAACTTCTAAGGGCAACATGGTTACTGACTTAACAGGTTTTGACTTTGAGGCCTCTGAGACCCTCCAGAATACTGGTAGGTGCCTGCCAAAAGCAAGTGTTAAGAGGTAGCACCAGGGGGTTTTGGTAGGCTACTTGTTTTGGTTACTGCATAGTTCAGAAGGTTTTTCCATGTTAGTATAGTATTAGTGGTTACTTGTAGAAGGACTCTGGGCTAAGTACCAATCCCTGAACACTACATTAGAACAAGTATAAATTGGGATTAAAGGTATGCACCACAATGCCTGGTGTTCAACTGGATTTTCTTACACCTGTATATGAATATAAATTTAACCATGAAAGTTCAAATCATTTCAAAGTATCTGGTGGAATGATAGGTTCAATCCCAATGGCATGGTAGTGGTTAAGAGAGGGACAACTTCATGAATAATTTATGAATCTGCTATAAAACTACTTTGCATTTGATTTTATTTATAACTAGTCAACTATACAGTGTGAATTTCCCAGGACCACTTCCTCTTCCCTCACTTTCCTGCAGGTGAGATTACCACACGTAATGTAGTACCTGTAAGGACCCACAGTGTGACAGAACCAGAGCCATGCTTCAGTTGTTTGATAAAAAGTCCGCCTGAGGGCTCACTTACATCTTTTGGCTCTTGGTGTTTGGGACAGAATGGGAGAAGTGTGGCAAATCATGGGGATCCAGGATTGAACTTTCAGCCTGGAAGATATTGTTTATCCAGGAAATGACGAAAACAGGAAGTTAACTGGAGTATGGGACCAGGTCAACAAATCTACGATCAGAGCATCAAATGTGTCCTTTTGAAGAAAGAGTGTGACATAGAATCTTTACATTTAGGATTTAAGAAAGTGATCCTGTTGTCTACTTGTTTAAGCTCAATCTATAGTTTTACTTGTTTCTCTAGTTTTCTATCCTCCTAACCTCTCTACTTACTAATGTCTTGTGTTCTCACAGTTCCTCAAACTTACTATTTGGAAAGGAGGTAGTGAAAAGCAAAACTACAAATTCTGCAGATCCATATTTAGTTTAGTACATCTTTAGGGACTTAGTTCCACAGAGTATCGATGGCTCGCCCCTCCAGCCTGCTGCTTAAAACACGCACTTTCCTTCTAGGGATGGTCCCACTCCCTGTCTGGGCTCTCCTTGGCAGATATCTCATGGCTCTGGCATCGCCAATATCAGGGTCTCCACCACAGCCCAGGCTTCCCCTTCACAGCTACACCCCATGGCTTTTCAGGAACTCCCACCCTCTCACGCTCTCCTTCGGGGAAGAATTCTAAGGCGGTTGGTGGTTACTG